TCGCAAAGAATAAATTAATTAATCACTATCAAAGGTAATGGAGCGCCGAAGGCGCGACCATTACTAGTTTCTTTGCCCGAAAGTGAAACAAACTCGCTAGTACCTCATATTTCACCTTTCCATCATGGAAGATGAATGATCCGAGCTGAGAAAACGGTGCAAAAATTCTCTCAACTTCATCCACGCCGTCGAAGCGAAATCTGCGTCTCCAGACGGAGAGGAACGAAAGGAATAAATCATTCTGAATGAGTTTGGGCAATCACAACGAACGAGTTACACTTACCCATTCATTGAAATCTAGTGCCGAACAAAATGCACCTAGAGAAATTTGATATGGAGAAAGTGACTGAAGACGGTTCTGAAGACGGAAGTTTCACTTATGTCGTTAATTGCACTTTCTCTTTCGAGTGGGACTCATTCAGCCCATAGCATAAGCCGTTGTGCTTGCCTCATGCGCTGATTAGGGTCGCAAAATCTAATTTTCTAATATATATAAACGATCGTGACTGCCTGACACTAAATCTAAACATGCTCTAGAAAGGTTACAAATCTGAAACTTGGTACATTTTGGAATGCAGAGTTCAATCCCTTCTTAGTCATAGTCATTGATGTCAACTATGACCAGGGTCTTCATAAGCTTGCAGTTCTGCAAAGGCAGAGGCCAGGAAAGTTCCATCAGCGATTCCTGTTGCACACGTGGAAATGTGCCTGAGGGTTTTCCCTGAGGGAAAAATAGAGAAAATAGGTTGCCCTTGGCAAGTCTCGCTGGGAATTGTTATCTCGTTCGTCTGACGTGGCCACCTTCCGACTTCCTGTTTCCTAATCTGAAGCAGAGAGTCAAGGGGAAATGCTGAGACCGGGAGATGCTGGGTTATTACGCTGTGTTTCCAGTTCGGATCATTCATCTTGTCCGATCGGACAGGTGAGACTTGAAATATGAGGCATACCTTTCTGCCGATATCGATGTGCGATGGAAAGTGCGAGTTCCTCAGTCTCCATGGAGATCTTCGACCTCTAGCACTTACACGTTGCATCGATTCCATGGGTGCACTCGACGGATTTCGTTACGTTGTGTTTCCAGGTCGGATCATTCATCTTGTCAGATGGGAGAGGTGAGACTTCAACAATGAGGCATATTTCTGTCGATATTGATGTACGATGAAAAAACCGAGTTTCTTTGTCGCCATGGAGATCTTCGACGTCTTGCACTTTGCCCGGTGTTCATCCCTTTGGTACGACGAAAGGGAGAGAGGATACTGCATCACAAGCAGGAGGATAGACAGAAAAACTGATTAGCTTGAACGGATTTAGGGGTTGCATCTACCAATGGAGAGGCTATGAAAAAGGTCCTGGATCAACACAAACGCAAAGTAGATACTCCCCAGATCTTCTAAATAGAGGATAATTAGACGACCTGAAAACTTTCGATCCCTACTAAACTGAAATTACCCACCCGCCCGAACCTTAGACAAGCGGTCAGTTCAAGCTGTTAGCTCATGAAGAAAGGAGTTCATTATCGGAGAGGGTTTGCTGTATTGATTATTGGCGGCGAAGTCTCAAGGTTAAGTGTATATTTTCCTTCGTTTCTCCCGTCCCATTTCCACAGGCAAGACCAACAACGGAAGGAAGGAGAAGTAACAGATCCAGCCGCATTGATTTCCATCAAGTAATAGGCCTTGGGAAATACGGTGCCTCTCTTGCCACAAATTTAAAATCCCACAAATTTAAAACGGCTCTGAATCGGTCAAGTGAGAGTTACATCTTGCTCGCTTTTCCTTTAGATTCGGTGACATCTTTGATGAAGGTATATTTCGTACTGGTTTTTGTCTTGTCCAACTGGGGAGAAACGTTTTAACTTCCTAAGAGAAGAAATTCTGTTTGGGATGGAATGAAGCGAAAGGAATCAATTGACCAAAGGAGGTCTGACATTGGGAAGAACATTCTTACTTCCTGCACTGTATTTGGTTCCACGTTGAGTCTACTCAGTATAACACTCTAGTCGGAATCCTGTGTGCACATGGGATGTTTAGTGACCTTTGACTTAGGTAACTGGAATGAGATATGCTAGAGAAAACGGGTTTTTCGATGAAAGGTAATCGCGGTTGAGCGCACTTGGGAGCTGCATCCAAGCCACTGTCCATTCCCAATGTTTGGGCCGTAGACCGAGGTTAGGAGTTAGTCCCTCAGAAGTCAAAATTTCAGGGTGGCTATTAAGAAAATAAGGATTTCGCTTCGATTGCATGCGTTTAGGTGAGAGAATTTTTTCGCCGTTTTCGCAGCTCGGATCATTAGTCTTGTCCTGTTCGCCAGTTGAATTATGAGGTATAGTCCTTCCGATATCGATTTGCGATGGAAAGTGCGAGTTTGTCCGTCACCATGGAGATCTTCGGCCTCAAGCATTTCGCCAGCTCTTCTCTCTTGGACACGACAAAAAGGAGCAGTGAGAAATTTAAAATAAAATCAGGGGTTCACGATACTAGGTGATAGCATCTGGAAATGCAACATCAACGAACAATAAGACGAATTGCAACTTTGTGACATAAGCACTTTCCCCTCTCACAACCCGCGTTTTTGTTTCAGCCCAATCTCCGCTATGGAAGAAATTGTGGTATACACTGTATATGTCCGATAATGCTCCACTACGTCAAAAATGAAGTTCTCAAAGTATATTGTGAATCGCGTCGTTGATTCATCTTCTTAACTTTATTCATTTTCTGCTTCTTTTACCAATACTCCACAGCCCAATGATATCAAAGAAAAATTGTCAAATTAAAAATGTGAAAAATGCGATTTGGATAGATGAAGGTTCTCGCAATGTTCCCGCGCCGATGGAGAGGCCACCACTTTGGCTCATTTTCTTATTCCGGCGCAGATATGCTGTGTGGAATTGCAAACGCGCCAGAAACATGACCAAAGTTCCTCCGGCACCTCGTCCTCCAACGGAAGTAGGTTCAAGACCTTTCCTTGTCAATTAAAATATAATGCGCCATAGAAAAAGATATGGTAATATCTTCCGCTCCAACGGTCTCATCCTACTCCGTCATTTCTACCATTTTGCGTGGGATATTTCCTCCTTCACTTCGAAGTGTTTCATTGAGGCCTAATTTTCTCTTGTGTTCGTGTTGGCGAAATGAATCTAAACGCAATCGTTTCTGAAAGATTTCTTTCAGAGTGTACTCGTCTTCGCCTAAACATGAACATTCGATACTGTTATCCTTGTATACCTCACTTGTGGACCTGGCTTAGTGGACGACATACACAACGTGCGAAGGACGTAGACAATAACAATTATGGGAAAAGTACGCGAGTCTTGTAGAGGAACCAACGTCAAAGCTATGCGTTCGCCAATCAACGAACACAATTGTGGCGAACACTGAATCTCACTTGAATTTCAATTGGTTTTGCCTATTTTTTCTCTCCCACCCCACCACCACCTCTCCTTCCTGCCCTATCTGCGTAGTCACTATTGGGCGGTCTTCGGAGGAAAGAGGACTTTCAAAAGAACGATATTGTCTGGTAAAAGACCAAAAGTGGCATTTTTGTTTTCTTTCGTGCACCATTTCGGCATAAAAATGAATTGCGCTGTCGTTCAATCCGGGCTTACTCCGGTATTTTCTCCCAGTGTTACCGGATACCGCGCCGAAATTTACGCCAGATTCAAGATTACTTGAACCTTCCTGTCTGCGCCCGAACCTTTTTTTTAATGCATTAGACACTTTTAGACTGTAATCATGAGTTGAGCAGAAGTGGTGGATAGAATCGATTTATCGATGTGGTGGAATAATGAGATATCTCATCCAGACATCCCTGCATTAACAAGATGGTATGCACCATGGTCGTCATGCATCCTGACGGGATTCCCTCCTCAGATCTATTGGAATTGGTTAGAGGAACTCCAGATAGGCTTAACGTTCCACGTCCACACTGAAATGGTTCATAGTAATAAAAGGCCCGTGACTGGCCTTACGTTACACGTCCTCAAAGAGATTTCTGGAAGACCACGGATTCGCCCTGTTCGACTTAATTATCGAAAAAGGAGAATTAAGAGTAAGTCGAGAATTAAGCAACTTTTGTAATAAAAAAGGCAAACCATTTCTTGACCTGCAGGAAGTTTGTTGGTTAGGTCTAGTTCAAACGTTAGAGAGTCTCGTAGAGAAATGTGGGCTGGGGGAGAGTGGTTGAAGAAAGGGAAAGATATTAAAATTTGTTTTTCGCATTATTAATCTAGTAAAGCAGACTTTCCTCAAAACCACTCACTAACACAAGAATTTCCATGGAATCAGTGACTTACGTATGCATGATGTGAATGGCGTCCTACTAATATAATCCAGCTTCTTATAGAATTTACCACAACGGGAAGCTGCTTGATACTACACGTTCTGACTCCCATAGCCTTTGTATTCTCTCAGCTAGTTCATAAGTTGTGCTTCTTGTGCGAAATTATATTCCATTTAAAAACCCTTTTCTATATATACCTTTGTAATGAAACTCATGCCATGGGTTAATATTGGCTATCTACAGAGTGACAGCTAGAACCAAGTTTTCTTCTTCAAAAACTCGTGGAAGGCATAGGCCTAGATTGAAAGAAACGCGATGACAGGCCTTTCAGGCTGCTTTTGTATTTCATGCAACTGTTTCATACGGTTGTTTGATAGAGCTATTTACTTCTTCCTTGGTGTTGCTTCACAGTTTCATTTCGTTTATGAAAAAAGAAAGCCGTGACCGCTTGAGTATTGAGGGGAAGCGTGGCCATACAATTAGCATAGATGAAGTTGCTATCTCTTTTCCAGGTTTCGATTGAGGACCCAAACCACTGGCTTCGTTCATTTGTGGCAACGCAGTTGTACGTGTAGAAGTGCAAATGCGAAATTGCTGTATCTTACGCCCCCATTTATTGAAAGTACAATTAATATTTCATCACAAAGCAATCACTATCTTCCCACTCAGTTTTTCATTTTCGGAGAGTGCATTTCATATTGTTTCTGCTAGCAAAGAGGAATATGCATAATTGGATTTTTCGCTTTTCTCCTCCATTGACCATGCACCGTATAGAGAAGCTCAACAAGGAATATATGGAGAAATTCATCATATATATATGCAAAGGAAACGGGGAAACGGAGAGTTTTCCATTCACCATGAAGCTCTTCAACATTGTGGTCTACGTATTCTCTTTCCCTGTCGGGTACGAGGGAAATCAGATCGGGTACTTGACGAAGAAGATGAGAAGATTCGATCACTTGGGAAAAGATTTGAAGCTGTCGGGAGTCCTGGAAATTTTTTTGCGTGAACCAAATATTCAAGAATGCATCTGGAAGTGCGACGTCAACGAGCAAAAAAACAAAGGATGCGACGGAGTCAACTACAACCCGGATTTTGGAGATTGTGAGCTGGTTGCAAGTGGTTCCAGTGGCCTCATCCTCGACAGAGGCTGGTTGGCCTACTCAAGCCTTCATCATCGTGAGTGTCTTTTAATTTTATTTTTTTTAAATTATATGCTGAAAGGGCCACCGAGACGACGCAAGGTACGAATGACTTGAATGGAATGAAGGGAGCTCAGCATGATCAACTTTCTCGTGACTCCGTTAGCACTATCGGATCCGAGAGTGTCCCCAGCCATTTCCCCAGGCATTTCAATTAATGATCGATTTATTTATGCGACCAGCAACTGCCGCGATCGAACTCCGATGAGTCAACGGATGAGAATGGAGACCTTCCTTGTTTCTTTTTTCTTAAATTAGCTTAAATTTAAGGGTTCATCGCGTTCGTCCAACCTCCGTCACTGCCACTGTCACGACCGGGTAGCAGAAAGCGGCGCGAATAAGGCGTCCCCTAAATCCTTTGAGGAGGTCTTCGCGACCCCCAACGAGATTTGCAGCACAAGAGACACACTCGACCCCGAGTCCGAGTCTGTCACATATTTCACAAACGAATGTAAAAACGAGGTGACACTGCATAAACCCGATCACTGAGCGATTTCTCTCACATGCTCTGGTGAGCACCAGGGAAGTTCCCGAAGGTGGCGGAATGGGTAACGGCGGGCCGCGGGAAATTCCCGGTCGGAGCTATGGAGGGCGGGAAGACGTCCAGCGGAGAGATACTCTACATTGGCAGGACCAGACACGAAAGCAACGTGTTGCCATGCAAGCTGCATCCGTCCAAATCGGCCTGCTACGTACCGTATGGCGGGAAGGAGATCGCGAAGGATACCTATAAGGTGAGACACTGATGCATCAGATATTTTTGCAAGAGAGCAAGGTGTGACCAGCGGATTTGTAGAGGTATATTTATTAGTCGTGAGTTGTGCTACAGGAAAAGTTAACAACTTTCAATCGCAGTTGTCAAGGTTTCTTTTCGTCTGGTGTGCTCAGGGGCCTCTAAGTAAGAGCTTTGCTTTGTTATATAATGGTGTATTTAGGAAAATATTCGGTCATCTTTACGATTTTATTAACGTAATCCTTTGAAAGAGAATGAAGTTGTTACAGCATCTTAAGGAGAAATCGTATGCAAAGAATAACTCAAACGACGTTTCAACGGAGAAACGAAGATACTTCTAAAAATTTGTTGTTTCTGCTTTCTGTCTGACATCCTCAGGTACTGGTGAATATCACCAAGGGAAACCTGGACTGGGTGGCAGCATCCGGGGGATCGGTCCCAAAAGGGGCCCTGCTTGGAGGACGCACGGCTGGGGGGGAACCCCTCTTCATCTGCAGGTGCATGCACGAGGAGGATTTCATCTGCGGCAAGGTAAGTTGCTTTCTTAAGTTTCATCCCGGTCCCGTTCTGTTCCCGGCGAGAGGGAAGGGGGAACGGTGGAGAGGGACTCTCCTTGATTTGTCACTCTGATCTTTGCCTTCACACAGAGTTGTGATGGATTGGAGTTACTAAACGTTTGAATCGGTGCCAAAACATATATGTCCTTTTCCTACTATTTCTCGCATCTCTTATATTCTTATCCCGAGGCGTTCTTTGGGTTGCTACTTTGACCATTTGCTGGCTGCTTTATCTAAGTCCTTTCCGCTGTCTTATCGATTCCTCGAGGGTCATGTTTTGATTAGCGAACGAAAGAAAATTGATAGGGTTCAATTCTGGTGCATGGGTTGGCAACGGCAATACTTTAACTCAGGTTCATGAATTTCTGGAGGGATCCGTCCACCTGGGGAACGATGCTGCAATGCAACTTTTTCGATGTTGGAAGTCTTTGGAAGTTTCGCTCGTGAATTGAAATTTTGCCTGCACCGGACTTGGATCCCGGCGAATTCTACTCGTGAGGGCTTCGATTCCTTGGACGAATTGAGGAGAAATCAAAACGAATGCTCGGGTGCGAGAAATGAGAAACGGGTGAAAATATGGAAAAGGACGTAGGGCTCTCGATTTCGTCTACGAGGTATCGTATCGATGGCATTGCGTCGATTACCGGATGGCAATTGAACCGCAAACCCCCCTGAGATTGACTATCGACAGGGCCCAGATTACGATATCGGCAGCTATGATACCCTATATCAGGGGTGTCAAACTCCAATCGGTCAGCGGGCCGCATCCTTTACCCTACAGGTGCCTATGAGCCATAGCAAAAATTTTTCACCGAAATTTGTGTTAATAGTCAGTGCAAGCGCAATTTTTAAGAGCAGACGGCGGGTCGAATGAACCACCTCTGCTGGCCGGATCCGGGCCGCAGTCCGTATGTTTGACACCCCTGCCCTATGTACACGCTCATGGAAACGACTTTCGTTGTTCTCCTTAGTTGCACCCTGGCCAGGCCTGTTACATCCCGTATGGAACACAAGAGCACTCGCACATGGACTACGAAGTCCTCGTGATCAAGACCATTCACCTCAAGTGATTTCGAAGATCGCCCAGTCGCATCATCTATAAATACTACTCCTCTCTCTTGCCATGGACTCTAGTTATCGCATTTGGTACTTGTTGCATGCATATCGTCTTGTCTTGTCTATCGTCTCGTCAGTGTTGTCCTGCTGCCATGAATGACAATTCCTCTCCTACAAATGTGGAAGGCAAATGAAAGAGCGAAATCCTTACTCGCAGTCATTGTATCCCCAGCTTGTAATGGCTTTACTGGAAAAAGAATCATACTGTCTATATCGTTCCTTTCTCCTAATTAATACATCTTTTGAGTCGCACATTCGTGGACGTCTTTTCCTTGTTGTGGATGAATGACAGCAACCCTTTCATGGTGACACCGATCCTACGCGTCAAGGAATTTCAGAAACATTGTTCAAAAAGTGTTGAGTTCTATACTTTCGTTCCTAGATAGCTTTTTGGATAGATGTTGCTGTTATTTACTCAATGCTGGTGAGTAATGCATGTAAATAATATTCAATTATTCTTTATATGCACAATCGAAGGAAAATGGAAGTTTCTCATTTGCAAATCGCTTCTCGACGCTCTTGTCTTTTCATACTGTCCCGGGAACGAAACAGAGGAAAATGCCGATACAAAGTTTCTGATTTAACATCTGATTCAAAATGAAAAACTTGTAATGGCATGACTTCGATATGGATTGTTCCAGAAACCTCAATGCCATAACCCGTTTTCGAACATATGCATTTTATTACAGAACACAGAATTCCGAGAACAAAACGTATCTTGAAATTTCGAGTGTTTCAATTACACAAGAGGAAGTGGCAGAAAGTTTGCATTCTGAATAGCGGAGAATTGACGCACGCACAAACGTGTTGCCGCGGCGAGCTGTCCAGGGAGACATAGAGGAGTTATCTGCAACCGCGGGGGTCGTTTGAGCCCCGGTTCCTTTGGAGAGAGCGGCAGGGTCCAACCTTCAAACCTCTACGTTCAAATCAGATTAGGAATTGATATTATATCAGTCCTCCGACCGTAATTAAAGTAATTCCTCCCTGGCCTCACTGGCCTTTGACGTGCGCTCAGTAATATCATCAAGAAGCACACTGCAGTTCATTAAATGAGAGTGCATTCTGTATTGATTTTGGTGCTGAAGACCGAAGGTTCCTTGTGTATTTTCCCCTCCTTTCTCCATCCATCACATCCCGATTTGACAGGCAGACCAATAATGGGAGTCTGAGCCCGCTGGATATACATGGTGCTTTATAATGCATTTGAATCATTTGATGATCGTGCAAGGCAAAACTTACCAAGGAATGTGATACCTTTCCCAGTAAAAAATGTATATCCTGCAATTTTTTTTTGTCCCAATATTCGCTCAAAGAGCAAGCATCTTAGGTTGCAGCTTTAGATTAACCGGGTACTGATCTTTCCGTCCATCGATTTCCCAGATGAATTTAGAGAGTATGGTGGCACGTAGTTTTGAACCACAAATAGTTTTCACGGTATTGTACAGTGAAAACGTGTGTCTTTCTCGGTTTCAATTTTCATCTGTTTACGAATTTGGTGTTCCCGAAGTACATGAGTGATGAGGGCGGAAGCGGTCAAGAAAGTAAACGATGGATTCCCCATGTTATCATGTAAAAGAAACTCCGCAACTGTATGGAGCGGAGAATCCGATGATGTGCGAGGTGCGTTCCTGGAGACCGTTTCCCCCCCCCCCCCCCAAACTCGACACTGTAGCGGTATAATGTGTCAGCTAGTGTCATCCTCTGTCCCTTGCATGTCGGGTGTGAACTTGGTATCGCGGAGAAATTTGTTTTGCGCAGAACGTTTTGTGAGTCTTTCTTTGAACAGTGGCTCTAAATCTGAAATTCATTCATGGAAAAAATTTCCTTCTCCTCCTGGATAAAATGCCACTGAAATTCACCGGCAGTTTTAATTTTGAACTAACTGGTTCAAAATCAACTCTGGGCCTGACAGTGTGGATGCAGGATATTAGTAGGCAATGCAGGACTATATTCCTCTGCATTGTGTGTCTCTTGCACATTGAAATAAGATTTCCACCTGCGCCCATTAATGGTTGTTTAAAAGTAATCGGAGAGGATAGTCTCATGAAGCTTGGATGAGAGTCAGGCAGGGGATTTTCATTTTGTTTAGTATCAGATTCCGGTAAATCAATGCCCGTTGTTCGCCATGGAAATTGGCGAAACTCATTCCGAATGAATAATTCCTGGTGTTTGTCAGTCGGAAGACGTAAACTTCGCATCGATTCACCATGGGTGAATTTTGTGAGGTGTTCTCAGTTCCGATCTTCCATCATGTCCAGTTGGATAAGTGAAACTTGAAATATGAGGTATACTTCTTCCGTTATCGAGTTGCAGTCTTCCATCTGCACTTCGCCTGCTGTTCCATTCTTGGGTACGACCAGAAGGAGAGGGGAGATTCCACCTCGAGGAGCAGAATACGATGCAGACGAGAATGCCGAAAAGGATTCAGGGGATGCTGAGGGCACGCGAATATATCTGGAAACGCGACATCTTCCTGATGCTTTTCATGCTCGGACCATTCATCATGTCTTCCCCATGACAGGTGAAATTTATCATTAGTTGAACGTTTCTGTAAAGACGTATGCGACAGACATGACATCATTTCCGGTCAACCTGAAGCTATTGGACCTCATCGTCTTGGTGTTCTTTTCGTCTGTCTGAGACGAGGAATGAGGTGATTACGACATTACTTACTAAGTAGCAGGATTGAAATCTGTCGAGAGCAGTAGAATTGTTCCACGAGTTGCCAAAGGTTCAGGAATGCATCCAGAAACTACATCAGCGAACAATAAAGGGCGACGGAGTAAAGTACAACTGGGAGCTGGTTGCAAGTCATTCCAGATCCTCCCGAGCCAGCGGCAGGTCGATCGACTCAGCAATGGCGATGGTGATTGTGTGGTGATGATGATGGTGATGACAATTAAGAGCTGCGGAGTGGAATCAGATAATGCGTCAACGATTCGAGAATAGGACTCGATGTCAGGAGATGAGTGAATGTAAGGCCAGTTCCGAAGTCGATTCAAAGCTTGTGAACGGGATTAGATATATTTAAATAAATGCAATAATAAATATGATATAAATATTAGGATTATCATTGATAGATGTTGTCCTCCACATCAATCTTTCTCTGAACGCCTGCAGCGAAGTTGAACTACAGGAGGCGAACGAGAGAAACACTGGGATCGCCTTTGATGAGGAAAATACATTCGTCGAAATAACTATTCTGCAGCAGGAACAACTGAAAGTAAGAAGAAGAGAGGCATTCCGGAGTCACTGTCAGTAGATGAGAGAGCATCACAGTGTTAAAAAAATGTTGCTATAGAGGCTGTTTCCAGTAGGAAAGAAATAGACGAGGAGAGACCGGAAACACATGCATGAAATGCATTGGTTCGACATGTTTCTGCTCGTGGCATGGGGTTTTATACTAGTAAGTAATAAGAGAGACGATATCCTCAAGTAATTTGTATGCAGTTGAGGTAGGAGATAATTTTATGTAAGAAAATACACTGAAGGATGATGTGAATAATGTATTTTCATCAGTAGTGAGAACTTACAGAAAGTGGTCCTCTAATTTAGGACCGTCGAAATCGAGTTCCTCGTCAAACACTATTTGCGTTTGATTCAGCACCTGATTTCTGTGAATAGATACGCGTAGTTCCCCATAGAGAAGGGCCCAATTCGTATAGAATCACCTGGTGTTTCTCTCAGTCGGGAAACGGAGACTTTGCATCGATTTCATGGGTGAAGTTGAGGGATTTCGCTACGCTGTGTTCCCAGTTCGGATCATTCAATTTATCCCATGAGACAGGTGGGATTTGAAAAATGAGGCATACTTCTGCCGATGTTGACGTGCGATAGAAAATTCGAGTTACTCAGTCGCCTTCCACCTGTCTCATTTCGCCGGTGTTCCTTCCTTCCCTACAGCGGAAAGATAAGAGGAGATTCTATAAGGAAACTGAGAGCGTTCCATTCACCATGAAGTTCTCCGACGTTGTGGTCTTCGTATTATCTTTCCGTATCGGGAACGGCGAAAATGAGATGGAGGGCTGGATGAAGAAGATGAGAAGATTCGATCTCTTGGAGAAAGATTTTAAGCTGTCGGGAGTCCTGGAAATTTTTTTGCAGCAGCCAAATATTCAGGAATGCATCTGGAAATGCGACATCAACGAGCACAAAGGCGGAGGATGCGACGGAGTCAACTACAACCCCGAGATGGGGGATTGTGAACTAGATGCAAGTGGTCCCAGTGGCCTCATCCGAGACAGCGGCTGGATGGCCTACTCCAGCCTTAACCATCGTGAGTGATATTATAAAATGTTATATTGAAAAACGGGCCATCGATACGCGAGACCTTCGATACGAATGATTTGAATGGAATGAGGGGAACTCAGCATGATCAACTTTTTCGCGAGTCAATAAGCATTATCGGATTCAAGAATCTCCCCTACCCTGGAGGCATTTCTATTGGTCATCGACCAGCAACTGCATTGTTCGATAACCGATAAGTCAACGGATGAGAACGGAGATCTGTATTGTTTTTTTTCTTCTCATTTTAAATTCCACCATCGCGTTCGTCCAACCTCCAACAAAGCCGCGCAACAATCCGGTAGCACAAAAGTGACGCGAAAGAGTGGTGCGAATGCCTCCTTCGCAACCCCCCACTATGATTTGCACCACCAGTGACTCACTCGACACCGAGTCCGAGTCTATGACAAATTTCACCAACGAATATAAAAACGAGACGATACTGCATACACCCGATCACTGAGCGATTCCTCTCCCATGCTCTGGTGAGCACCAGGGAAGTTCCCGAAGGTGGCGGAATGGGTGACGGCGAGCAACGGGAAATTCCCGGTCGGAGCCATGGAGGGCGGGAAGACGGGGGACGGAGAGAAACTCTACGTGGGCAGGACCAAACACGAAAGCGAGATCTTGCCATGCAAGCTCCATCCGTCACACGGGTTCTGCTTCGCACCGTATGGCGGGAAGGAGTTCAAGAAGGATACCTATGAGGTGAGACATTGATGCCTGAGATATTTTCGCGAGATAGCAAGATGTGAACAGTGCATTTGGAGATGGATATTTTTTTGTCGTGAGTTGTGCTACTGGTGAAGTTCACAACTTTCTATCGCAGTTGTGAAGGTTTCTCTGTCTGGTGGGCTGAAGTGCCTCGACGTATGCTATGTCTAATTATGGTGTAATTGGAATATTTCCAATCAACTTCACTATTTTTTAAACCTATGCCCTATTAAGGGAAATCAATTCTCACGTCATGTTTAGGATAATATGTATTTAAAGAATAACTTGAATTGCCGTTGCAAAAGGAAAACGAAGATATTTTTCTTTCATTTTCTTTTCCGTTTCTGCATTCTGTCGGACGTCCGCAGGTACTAGTGAATATCACCAAGAGCAACCTGGACTGGGTGGCAGCATCCGGGGGATCGGTCCCAGTCGGAGCCCTGCTTGGAGGACGCACGGCTGGGGGGGAGCCCCTCTTCATCTGCAGGTGCATGCACGAGAAGGATTTCATCTGCGGCAAGGCAAGTCGCGATCTTCAGTTTTATCCCGGTCCCATTCCGTCCCTGGGGAGGGGAGGAGAGGGATTCTCGTTGATACGTCTTTCTGCTCTCAGCCTTCACACAGAGATAAGAGGGATAGAATGTGTAGAAAGGCGTAATGTGCCACTTAGGTATGAGAACAATTCTTAACTCCTTCAGTAAGACCCATTTTCTTGCCTCTCTCATGTTCCTATCCCGAGGCGTTCTCTGGGTTGCTACTTTGACCATTACTTGAAGCATTATTTGAACAAGGGACATAGCCCAAGTGATAATTTCAGATTTTCACCAAACATTGGTCATTGAAAGGGTCCTCAAAACGAAGTCAAATGGCACCAAAACTTGTGGCTGAGAAACAGGTTTAGGCTCATAACTGGCTCTCTCAATTTTCAGTGATACATGATGATTATACTCATGGCCCAATTCTCTTAGACTATAGCTTTCAAAGGGAAAATCAGATTCAGGTGATATTTTACAGAGAGGTTCTTCAGTGAAGGAGGTTTTTTTCCATGCCGCTAGGTGGCGCGTCATGCTGATAAAGAGCGATGATGTCGACAGCAGTGCCACCTACCTACTACCTATATCATTTTTTAGCTACTGGAAACAATTAGTTTAGCATTATGAATCTCTCTGCCAATTATCATCAGCATCTGAGAGTTTCTTGAAAAGATATGGTCAAACAAAGTTGAAAGGGAAAGTTTCCGTTGACATGTCGATTCCTTGAAGGTCATGTTTCGATTTGGCGAACGAAAGGAATTCACAAGGGTTCAATTCTGGTGCATGGATAGGAAACGGCAAAACATTGATTACAATTCATGAATTTCTGAAGCGATCCGTCCACCTGGGGAACGATGCCGCACTGCAACTTTTCGATGTTGGAAGTCTTTGGAAGTGTCGTTCGTGAATCAAATTTTTGGCCTGCACCGGACATGCATCTCGGCGATTTCTCATAGCGAGAGCTTGGATTACGCGTTGGAACCGAGGAGCAATCAAAAGGGATGCTTGTGTGAAGGAAATGAAGAAGGGGGGGAAATATGGAAAAGGATGGAGGGCTCTCGATTTAGTATTCTTTTCGACTTTTCTTGTTCCCTTAGTTGAACCCGAGAAACAAGGCCTGTTACGTTCCGTACGGACGAAATGAGCACTCGTACAGGGACTACGAAGTCCTCGTGATCAAAATCGTCGACCTCAAGTGATTTCCAAGATCATCTATAAATACTACACCTCTTGTTCACCATGGACTCGAGTTGACACATTTGGTATTTTTTGCGTGCATATATTGTCGGCGTCAGTGTTGTCCTGTGGCCACGAGTGACGATTCCTCTCCTATAAAGGTGGAAGTAAAGTGAAAGAGTGCAATCGTCACTCGGAGTCATTGTATACCCCAACTGCTATTGGACAAAGAATCATACTGTCTGTATCCGTTCACATCATGTTTCGTTTCGGTTTCGAAAATTTCATTTCAGGAATAGAAAGAGAGCGACTTTGACAATTTAAACATTTTCGCCGTTTTCGAGAGAATATGCATATGATGAAGGAATGCAAGAAAAAATTACTAAGTTTAGGAAGGAATTTTGCAGACGGAAATCACGGGAAAATGCAGGCCAGTTTCAATTTTGTGGTATTCTGTGTTCAGCCAGACGCCATAACTTTCATCCGTTGTTGTCCATATCCGTCGGAATGAGGGATAATGTATCGTTTCCATGTCATTTCCTCCTTAACCCTCTCCTTATTTGTCCGTGCTCCTTCTTTCTTGCACTTGAGATAAGTGGATTTGGAGCGATATATTTATTAGTCGTGCGTTGTGTTACTGGTGAAGTCAACAAGTTTTAATTGCAGTTGGCAATGACTCGCTGTCTGGTGGGTTGCGAGGTGGTAGGGACTTCGACACGAGGAAATGTCAAATCCATGTCGAATGATGGTGTATTTGTAAACTTTTTCGCCAACATCACGATTTTTTAACCAATTCCATTGAATGAGGTTAATTTACTACACTATTGACTATGTAAAATGATTATTGTGCATTTTTGTGATAATTCTAAGTTTTTCAATAAAATGGATTTGGACTTCATGATCACCCTGTATAGTGCCGAAATTTTGCCAGATTCAATACATTTGCATCGTCCTCTGGAAATTTTTTTTTTTTAATATATGAGACACTTTCTCGATGAGTTCATAATTGAGCTGAGAATGAAGCAGTTTTCAGCAGTAATTGATCGATGTTCTTGGATATGGAAATATCTCATTGGGACATCCCTGAATAACCAGAATGGCGGGCGTCATGGATTTCATGCCTTCTGGAGGCAGTCCTATCTCAAACATATTCCAGATGGTTGGAGGATCTCCTGATGAGCGTAATGTTTCACCTCCCGAATGAAATGGGGATTCATGAAACACAAAACTGGGTTCAAAGCGGTCTAGCGGTACATATTCTCTCTAAAATCGTTCGTGAAATTATTAACATGAAGAAGCAAGCGAATGGCCTAACGTTACATGTCCTAAACGAGATATCTCGAAACTCACTGACTGATCCTTGAAGACTATATTGTAGAGAATTAAGTTTCATATAAAGGAATAAAGTTTGGTTTTGGGGGACATGAAGCCAGTCTATTGGTTAGGCCTAGGCCTAACGTTAGCTAGTCCCAGTTATTGCTCATGTCTTACATGTCATTTGGAGGCACGATGTTTTATAGTAATTTTCTCAAATGGCCTGAATCCAAATTTTGAAACTACGGTATGCAAGGTATTTCATTTTGCTGTGTTCATAGTTCGGATCATTCATCTTATCCCATCGGACAGGTGAGACTTGAAAAATGAGGCATGCATCTGCCATTATCGACGTGCGATGGAAAATGCGAGTTACTCAGTCGCCATGGAGATCTTCGACCATTCGCACTTCACCCGCTGTTCCTATCTTCCCTACGTCGAAAAGGTGAGGGGAGATTCCATCTCAAACAGGAGGATTTGAAGAAGAAGGGATTGGTTGAAAAAAGATTTCATGGTTGCCAAAGGCATGGGACTGCATCTCAAAATGTGATATCAAGAAACATGAAGTGGATGGTATGAATAAATGAAGTGCGGGAGCGTCTATTACCTTTCTTTAAGCACCTCCCGAGGCAAATTCAATTCGTGTTCAAATTCAACTCAATTCGTGTTCCCCTCTTAGTGGATCTACAGGGACGACATTAGGCCAGCATCTTCATGCACCATTTCGTCAAGAAAATGGATTTAGCTGTCGTTCAATTAGTCTTTGAGGGTATCCTCAGGAACCGTCCCCCAATGTGGCCGAATACCGTGGCAAAGTTATTCCAGGTACATCCCTGATACCTGAGTACCTGATCCCTTGCATAGTCGCGCGACCACTGACAAGCTCTGTCACCGTGAGTTGCCCCAGCTGAGCTCCACGTACCGTCCATAGATTTCAAGCACGGCGAGCGACCGTATCGGCGATCCCGATCCCGTTCTTTACCACCATCGGCTGAGAGCCCTTACCCGCTTCCCAAATCCCGAGCTGACGGGCGGACTAATTCCCCAGGAAACACCAGAGCCTTAGGTAGCGTCATCCATTTTCCCTTCCCCCTCATAGGATCAGTGACCTCCGAAACCCTGAGGGAGACAACGACGAGCGACCTCCCCCATAGGAAGCGACACCGACATCTGTCGGACACCTCGTCCTCAAGCTCCGACAGCGGCCCTGAACTCTTCGTCGAATGGACCAAAAAACCAAACGACTGACTTCTCTTTCCGTATGTGCGACGCTTAAAGGGAGAAAAAAATAAAATATATATGTGTGGTACTGTTGACGTACGTGTACTTTTCTAAGCCCCTCCACCCGGACCCAAAGTGCCTCGAGTAGCGTATACGAGACACGAAATAAAAGAGGAAACGGGAAATGTCGGCCTCCCGTAACACTACTAATGATCGTCCGGAAGACTTTTCTCCATGAGGAAGACATGAACTCGAATTTTGGTCTCATGTGTGTCTCCAGCATTCGATGCTGCCCATACGATATTCATAACCTCCATCTCGCCATCAAGGATGCACTTGATGACAGTGTTATAGAGATTATTATGTATCAAAGGGAAGATCATTCGCCGAGAAACTTCCCATAGCATATATAATGCATCTTTTAATGTCGTGGAAAGCAAAAAAGCCCATCATTGATGTTGTCACGCGATGGAATTCAACTCTTAATAAGCTATTAGGTTGGAAAGAAAGTCTTGCAAAACTTTCTAAAACTATTTATGAAAATTTTCAAAGGAATGATGGGCGGGGCTTTGCATTTGTATATGCTGGAATGTTTTCGAAGCTTCTGCCCTCGGGGTATATGAGGCGACTTCTGTCATTAGTTGGCAGCCATGGCTCCGATCGAACGAGCAACTCTTCGCCCCATCGTCTACTACGAGTTCCTCTAAGGACACTCTGCGAGAGCCGCCGCGGACAGCATCTGCGCTGCATTCAAGGGCAACGTCGTCCACTATTCCGCAGTGTCTCGATGGTCGAAACGCTTGGAATCTGGCTACACGACCTTCGGAGATCGACCACGCTCGGGACGTCCATCTGCAGTCGATGACGAAGCCCTGCGGAACGCCCTCAACGCGAAGCCGAACGCCACCACTCGCGAATCGGCGACTACACTTGGAGTCACCCATATGGCCATCGGCAACCATCTGAACGACCTCGGCTATCGGAAGGTTCACTCGACATTGGTCCCTCATCAGCTCAGCGACTCTAACAAAGCAAGCCGTGTCAGTGTCTGCGAATCACTGCTCCTTCGTCCGCACAGAAAGGACCTTCTGAAGGAAATCGTTACTGGAGATGAGAGCTGGGTCCTCGACGTCGACCATACTCGCAAGAGTCAGTGGCTTCCACGATGAGAATTGCAGCCACACGAACCGAAACCAGGGTTCCACGAAAAGAAGGTTCTTCTCTGCTGTCGGTGGGATTCAGAAGGAATGTTGTACTATGAGCTCCTGCCAACCGGTACCACCGTGACTGCCGTCGTCTACGCTGCTCGACTTCAGAAGTTGGCTGGCGTCATTCAAAAATAGCGTCCCAAACGCGACAAAGTTCTCCTTCTGCATGACAACGCTCGTCCACGTGTTGCGAAGATGACTCGACAGACGATTTCGGAACCGGGCTGGGAAGTTTTACCCCATCCAGCGTATTCTCCGGACTTGGCCCCTTCCGACTATCACTTGTTCCGGGCCCTCAAGAATCACCTGCGGGAAGAGGCCTTCGACGATCGAGCACGGCTCGAAAATGATGTCGGCCGTTTCTTCGCTTCGCAATCGCCAGAGTTCTGGGCAAAGGGCATCGAGCAGTTACCCGTGCGTTGGGAACATGTCATAGACAACAATGGTGTTTACATTGTAGACTGAAATTGTATTTCAATAAACTCATTAAATTTTGACAAATTTGCTCAGAGTGTTGCAAGACTTTCTTTCCAACCCAATAAGTCGACTCTTGGAGTTGCGTCCATTCACTGCTGATCTGGGGGCGGCAAATGCAACTCTCTTCTTGAATGATAGCACTTGAGAGAAAATGTCAATAGACGAGATCGTTGCTGCTCTCGAACCAGTCATAGTCCTAACCATGGAACTTCAAAGTGAGCACTTGGTTCCTGGTGAAGCGGTGAGGAAGTACAAGTACAACACTGAGAAGGTAAGGAGGCAGTTGCTAAATCACTGCTTGCAGCAATGAAATCACGAGAGCAGACCCTCTTCTCCAATTGCTTCCTCGCAAGTGTTGACCTTTACCCAGGATACCATATGCTCTTAAGTCAGAATGAGCAACTTTAAGGACAAACATTTCTACAAGCGCTAATTATGAAGCTCGCGCAGGTTGCAGAAATCAGCATCGTGGATGAGTCCCACGAGAGTGAAATAATTTCAGATAGAGCCTCGAAAGACTCCATTGATGAGGTAGAAAAATTGCTTCAAGAAAGAAAGACAAGGAACGAATGACAGTTCGTTCCTTGTCGAACGAGCACCTCATGAATAGCATCTATCGATCGTTCGCATCAACCCAACAAATCCCGATAGAGGTAAATGCCTCGAAATTGAAGTTCAAAAAGAAGAAACGGATGCCGGAGCTTTAGGATATTGCAAGAGTTGCTAAAGCGGCCCCAACGACTTAGGTGAGCGTTGAGCGGCTCTTTCCATCGCTCCGTTTTATCCATGTCCTCGCAGAGTGGGCATTCTCCCGATTAATTGGAGGCCGTCCTTCTTCATCGTTCTAATGAACTTTGAATTAAAAATTTGGAATAAGGGAGATTCTAATAGAGACATGCTGGGTGTGTGCATTGGAACTTTGTTGAAAACGTTAGGAATATTAAGAAGAACGGAACGTCAAAGCATCAAAACCATCCGAGACGGATCATCATTCCAATGATAATGTAATACCAGAACTGAACGCTTTCCCTAAAATTCCGCGCCTGCGGTATCACAACAAATTATCGCAGTTACAGGTATTACGTTATACGGTCTCAAACATAAAACATCTCATTTTAAATTTCACCATCGCGTTCGTCCAACCTCCAACAAAGCCGCGCAACAATCCGGTAGCACAAAAGTGGCGCGAAAGAGTGGTGCGCAACCCCTCACTAGGATTTTCACCACCAGTGACTCACTCGACACCGAGTCCGAGTCTATGACAAATTTCAACCAACGAATATAAAAACGAGGCGACACAGCATACTGATCACTGAGCGATTCCTCTCAAATGCCCTGGTGAGCACCAGGGAAGTTCCCGAAGGTGGCGGAATGGGTGACGGCGAGCAGCGGGAAATTCCCGGTTGGAGCCATGGAGGGCAGGTACTAGTGAATATCACCAAGAGCAACCTGGACTGGGTGGCAGCATCCTGGGGGTCGGTCCCAGTCGGGGCCCTGCTGGGAGGACTCACCTGATTCGAGGAACTCCAGAGAGGTCTAACGTTCCACGTCCTCACTAAAATTGTTCGTGAAAGTATGAATGGACCTGCGATTCGCCTAACGTCACGCGTCCTAAACGACACTTTTTCAAGAGAACGGATTCACCCAAATAGATCTAATTGGTCTCGTAAGTCGAGAATTTAATTTCCTTCGCTGGAAAACAGGTAGGCGTTTTTCTGACCAGAAGGCAGTCTGATGTTTCACACTGGACTTAATATTAGTGAGTCCCGCAGAGAAGGGTGGGGGTTGAAGAATAGGGAAAGCCCTTGATAATTGATCTTCAAATTACTCCATAAACCTACATGCAAAGAAAAACGAGAGTTTTTCATTCGCCAAATAATGTATCCGACAATCTACTCCTTTTCACATTATGTTTTCTTGGACACCAGGAAAAGCAAATGAGATTCCGTCTGAGCGAATTTGATTGGAAGCTGTAAAACAAATGCTGGAATGGCTTCAGGAATTGCGAATTTTTGAGAAATGCTAGAAAATGAATAGGGAACGCAAATGATTCCTCCCCACCGTCGGTAAGGGATCGGACGAGAAATCCACCGTCGAATCGATGTGAATCAAGGGATTAAGTGAAGGAAAGGGCTGTTACTCCTGGTGAAATTGAAACGATTTAGTTGAATCCATTCGAATTTACTTTAGAAGCATATTTTCTGATTCTTACTCATTATTGAATGTCTTCAAAAGACACATACGGAACATGGTGCTTTATAATGCATTTGAATCATTTGATGATCGTGCAAGACAAAACTTAACAATGAATGTGATACCTTTCTCAGCAAAAAAAGTATATCCTGTAATATTTATTGTCCCAATATTCGCTCACAGAGCAAACATCATCTTAGGTTGTAGCTGTAGATTAACCGGGTACTGATCTTTCCGTCCATCGATTTCCCAGATGAAGTTAGAACGTATGGTGGTATGTAGTTTTGAACCACAAATAGTTTTCACGATATTGTACAGTGAAAACGTGTGGTTTTCATGGTTTCAATTTTCACTTAAACAAGTTTCAATTAAGGTTTTAATATTTAAATTAGGCATATGGTACCTGTTTGATTCTTGTTTGGCCGACTCAGGCTTTTGTCCTACCTTCCTGCCAAAAACATTATTTGGTCCATGTGAATTGTCATGGATACCATCTCCATGCCTTCTATAGAAATGTCCGCTTGGAAAAGAGGGAAATTACTCATTAATCCCATAGATACTACTTGAGAATGGGACAATTCAACGGGGAAAGATGGCGCACGTGACTTGTGTGGGTCTGTGTCTCCTGGTCCTTTTTTGAAGAATCCATGGAACCAAGAGTGAGTTCTGTCAACTGGCTACTCATGGTGACTCTTTTGTGGTCAATGTGCTTGGGCATTTCGGCATTCAACAACAAACGAGGGTGAAGTGCTGTGATTATTGTGGCAGAGATGCCCAGTCAATCTCCACTGTGAAGATCGCATTTACCTTTTGGAGACCTGGACAGATGGGTTCCGCCATACGCGACGTCCGATGGTTTGTTCTGCTGAATGCGCTCCTGATAATCGGCGAAATCGAGCTGAACCCCGGTATTGGTAAACAGCAGAAAATTACGGATGCCTTCCCCGGATCTATTCTATCAAGACCTGTAGCGCAAGAAACCCAGTCGTCCAATCATTCAAGGTCGACAGATTCTATCTCTTCATGTAAATCCGAACGTGTCGACCCAGACATCTGCCTCAAGGACATCGCAAAGGTGCTAACCGCAGTCAACAGGAAAATCGACTCACTCGTTGGAAATCAAGAAATTGTGATGAAAGACCTACGGCA